TCCCGGGGGCCGCCTCCCCCGATGGCTTCGAGGTGACTTCTGCGTCGGCCTCGGGTTCGTCGGCCTCGGCTTCCTTCATGAGCTCAGAGTCCTCCAGGTCTGGCCTCTCGACATCAGGGGGAAAAGGAACGCGGATGTCTGGCTGCGGGGGGGAGCCCGTATGCTGCCGGGTCAAAGTCCTTTGGCTCGATCTTCAAGTGGCGAGCCATCCTCCGGTAGATGAGGGCTTGAGTGAAAAACTCGCCCCCATCATAGTATTGTTTACCCTTTCGGGAAACCCACTCCACGCCAGGCCCATCACACCACTCGTCGACCGAGGACTCGACGACCGAGGACAGCCATTTCTTGTGCTCCTCGGACCGCCACCCCCCTGCCAAGAACCCCGAGATTGCGTCCTCTCGGGCTCTCTCGACGGCTTCAACCTTCGCGGCCTCGGCTTCCTTGACAGCTTTCTCTAAGGCCTCAGCTGCGGACCTCTCGGCTTCTGCCCTACCCCGATCTGCGGCCTCCGCCCGCAGGGTCATCTGCCGAAGGCTCTCCTCCAGCATAGCCATCTGCCGAACAGCGTCTGCATTCTGGCGGATGAGCTCCCGCATCTTGGCCTCCTGCTCGGCCTCGCGAAGGCGCCACTCCTCTAGCCGCCGGGCTTGCTCCCCGAGGGCAATGCAGGTCTACAAAAACAAAGGGGTTAGCAAGACCAAACATGGTTTCTTAGCTCGAAGTAAAAGAGAAAGAAATAAACATAAAAGACTTACTGTGAGGGAAGACCGGAGGATCCTGTCCTCGAGGGCTTCGTCTTCATCAGCCCCGAGGGCTACCCTGTCAATCTCGAGGGTAATGCCTCTCAGAAGCGCCCTCGGGTCGACTGTACCGTTCATCACGGCCGTACCAGCCGGGAGGGAAACCATGAGGACCTCGGAAGATGGCCCCTGAACTCCCGGCGGCACTTTCGCCACCTGCATGTCCTCATTCGCCCCGGAGGCATGGCCTTCATCGACAATGATCACCGGGGGGACTTTCTTCCCGGCATCCCCGGTCTTGGGCTTCTTGCCCTCGGGATCTCTGCCCGAGCCCTTCCTTTTGGCGGCAGCAGCAGCATCAGTACTTGGGCCCACCGACGGCCCCTCCGGTTTTTTGAAGAAGTCACCGGCGGGTTTTGGGACACCGGCGTCCGTCCCCCTCGGGCCCTTGGAGGGGTTCTTCTTCTTCAAGTCTGCAAGGCCTCTGACATTCATCATTTTCACTGGGACACCTACAAAAAAAATATGGGGTTAAAATCGAGGGGTCGCTGACCGAAGGCACAAAGAATAAAAAAAAAACACGAACAAGATAAGCTATGTGCTAAGATATGAAAACCGAGGGACCTCGTAGACTACCTCATGTTCCCCCGAAGGCCTCAACAAAAATGGGGTACTTCTCGTCCGCTTCCCCAATAAATCGGTATCTCCGAAAGCCGAGGGCGTAGAATCCCTTGTCGGCAGTATAGTCTTTGATGGAGACCTGCTTTGTGCGACCCTCCGGGATTTTGGCTATCACCAGGCCGTCTTTTTCGAGGGCGGCGCTTCCAACCTTCGGATGCCGACGGAAGCGATCCCGAAGTTCCACCGGAAATGGGTTCTCAGTAACCCTGACATAGCACCAGCGCTCCTTCCAGCCCTTATTGGACGAAGGCGCCTCCGTGAACAGCTTCCATCTGGCCACCTGCTGCAGGTTGGCGAAGCCCTCGGCATTCGCGTGACCCCCTCGACAGAGGTTGAAGCTCTGGAAGAACAAGTCCAGGCTGGGGGTCACCCCTCGGTCCCTACAGAGGTTTAAAAAACCCGCCACGTAGGAGTGGCTATTAGGTGTCAGCTGGCAGGGTACCAAGCCAACAAACCTCAGGTACTCCCGGAGGAAGGGGTGCAGAGGGAACCGAAGGCCCATGGAGACCGACAGTACGTGTACTGCAATGCACCCCTCAGGCGCCCGAGAGAGCACATCGTCAACTCCCGGCTCGACCACCTCGGCCGAGGGCCCCACATGTAGCTGCGTCACGTAGAGGTCCGCCTTGTCCGCCTTCGACTTTATCTCCAACGCGGCCGTGTTGAGCCAGGAATACCCCTCCGGCATATCTACGGGTTTCCCCTGATCAGCAGCAATAACCTTCTTCTTGGGGACAGCTGCCTTGGCCTTCTTCTTCCCGGGGGCCACCCGGATGGGAACTGCATTCAGCGGCTGGGAAGTACTGGCCTCACCAGCACCCCGAGGGGGAAGGACGGCCACAGTGACCCTCGCCCTCTCCTTTTCCTCCTCCTCTTCAGCAACTTAGACGGCGAGGGCCAACTCTTCATCCTCGGCAGTTCGCTCAAATTCCTCCGCCTCGGCCTCGGCCATAAGATCCTTCCGCACCTCAGTCGCGAGGGCTGCATCACCACCATCCGAGGGCTGACCACTGCTGGACTCCACGTCGGAGATGCCTTCGTCCTCCATCGAGGGCGTCCTCGAGATGTCCTGAGAGTCACTCTGAGACGACATTCTATCTCTAGCTCGAGGGTTCGGGGGAACTAAGGTTTCTAGTGAATTCTATCTCCTAAACCGAGGGCGCAATGTACAGCTATACTAGAAGGAGAAAAGCAGGGAGCACTGACCTCGAAAGCTGAGTTAGGACCGAAGGCTGGAGTTTCTCTCACTAGATTTTTTGGCAGAGCTTCGCTAAGACAACTGAGTTCGCACAGGGGAAATGGCTCTGGCCTTGGGGTATTTATAGGCGCTGGAATCCGGGCTTGGGCCCGGAAACCGGGCCTCCGGACGGACCGTCATCATTACCCACCGTCGTTTCACCCAACCGGTGACGCCGCCCACGAACAGCCAGCCATCACACGCCACGTGTGCCACCCCCCCAACGGCTATATCCTGTCGTTACATATTCCAACGGCTATATTTCCAACGGCTATATTCTGGAAGCCCCCGGGGTTTCTACTTCACTCCACTTCATCAAGGATAGCCTCCGGGTACACTCACTCAGAAGTGCCCCCGGGTTGCGCCCCACACAGCACATAACAGACGCCTTCGGGATCACTCCTTCAGATCCCCAGGGCTGCATATCAGGGCACCCCTCAGGGTTTCCCCCTCAGCACTGCAAAACCGGGTAGCCCCCGGGGAGTGCCTCATTGACGGATGGCCCATGGCACACAGGTAATGGGAGCCCTCGGGTATCTTCATCACCAACTCATCAACAAACAGTGGACCCCCCGGTAACAACTTCACTGCTGCCCTCATCTGGCAGGCCCTCGATCCCTGGATTGAGGGGCTCCCCTTCGGCGCCACCAGGACATCAACAGCAAGCCTTCGGCTAATCAACACAGGAGCCCTCAGAAGAGATAGCCTTCGGCATTCCCGCCATTCTCCATTTTTCACCAAGGTTTGACATTTTCGATTCATCATTGGGGGAATTCGGTGCACTCTTTTTCCCTCATTAGGATTTTTTCCCAAAGGGTTTTTCCTAATGAGGTTTTTAACGAGGCATCCCCCCAAAATGAAACGAAAAGCGTCAGCCTTCGGCCCACAACAGCAACGCAACTACTCTACTCCTTTTCACCACTTTACAAGTGCCTAAAGGAGTGGGGGACTGGAGGACCCCCTCGGGAAAATCATTAAATTACAAAATCTGTGAAATTCCAACAAACAACAAAGCAAGCCCTCAAGTCCCGACATGTGGGTAACTGAGGGACTGCCTTCGGCAGGGACATAAAAGCAACAACTCCTCACCAACTTCAGAGATCACGACGGGACAACATCAAAGGGCAAGCACAAATTACTCCTTTTCCCTCAAGTACCTTTCGGCAAAAGGAGTGAGGGACTCCTGATGGAGTATATGGCCCGGGAACCCCCGGTCCACAGACTCCTACTACTCCGGCAAAGGCCCAACAGGCCCAAAAGGCCCAACAGGCCCAAATCACAGCGCCCAGAGTACCAAGCAGCCCGCACTACACGCCAGGGGTGCCTTCGGCCCCCTGGCCGAAGGCTCTAAATTCTCACAGAGCGGGTTCCTCAAGCATATTAAGAGACTGGGAGAAAACGGCGAAAACAGTAGCCCTCGGCACCAGGGTGCCATCGGGTGGAAGAGCCCTCGGCTACTGCTCTATAGCCGAAGGCATCTCACTCGACAAGATATCCGCCTCACATGCGTACAGATCACCGTACCCCGCATAGACGTCCCATCCAACAGCCGCATTAAATGCGGCCACATGCGGCTGCCAGCGCCAACCAGTTGAGGTGACCCTCGGCCAATGAGCGCTTGACACGTGTCCCTGCCCGGCATTTATTGCTACTATACATAGCACCCCATTTCCTCATTTGTAACCACGCTGAAAACGACATTCATATTGAATACACTCTCTCTCTACTTTTATTTACTTGCTCTGACTTCTCTCTAAGTTACTCCCCGTAATAACCCTTCGGATATATACCCTCGGGTAGACTATCCATCAGTTACAACTAATGCAAAATCACCCGGTAAAATAAAAGAATCCACACACTAGTGAGATGAAAAATAGGAATTGTACTCTTATCATAAATCTGAAAGCTTCTAAGTTTATTTCTAGATCCATTTCTCTTATTTATAAAAAACAAGCAAGCTGATATGTGGGGCAGTAAATTGGGAGTAGTAAACATCCATATAACGTGACATTTGAGTTCAATCTTAAATACTCCGTATTTTTTACTCTAATTTAGGATTTTCTTTGAATACTCCTGATATGGACTTGTGAAGTGGTATTTCCGAATAATCTACGGTAAAACGATAAAACTAATAGGTGTGTTTTCAACGAATTTCATCCTTGTGAGACTGGTCGGTAGACGTAACTCGACTAATAGATAAGAGTGTCACACGAGATAATTCTCTCCTTCCATAGGTGGGGAGAGTCTCATGGATGAGTGTATCCTTTTTTATCATTGTGAAACCAAATGGGCCATTTCTATCCTTAAGCACACATTCCCCCGCCATAACGTGCGATTGTGATAAAGAAAGTGTAAATGCGTTTGTGACTGAAAAAGGAGGGGATAGATTGAACCTTTGGTGAAAGAGCAGAGTGACCCAAATGGGCAAAAGTCTTAATTTTGAGAAGCCATTTTGGTGTTAGGGCACTTAAATGAAAATAGGCACAATTATTATTTATAGCAGCAGCAGGAGATTTTGCAGCAGCCAGCCCCCTTCTGTCTAGTCTTTTCTTCTTTTCTCCATTAAACTATCAAAAGGAACAAATGAGAGGAATTTTTCAGCAGTATTTGTGTTGTGCGCCTAAATCAAACCACCTCACCCCCACCCACCCACCCACCCTAACGCATCTCCTTCTCCCCCTCTGCTTCCATGGCTGTAACAACCATGAGAGAAAGTGAGGTAAAAAACAAGAATTGCTTATTATATATTCCTGTCGCTCTCATTTTTCTGACCTTCAAACCTCCTTACTGTCACTGACATACCGTATCACCCCACCCTATCTCTCTCTCTATCCCTCTCCTCCTTTCTCTCTCTACCCCACCCTCCCACCACCTTATTATACCCACTACCCCATTATCACTGTCACGGTTTATTCCTCTCTGTGTTTGGATGAACGGAAATGCTCTAATCTTCTTCAACGGAGCTCTGTATGTGTGTGAACATGCATCTCTGTCATGAAAGGAACCTCCTTTTTCTCAGCATTTTCGTGGCTTCGGTGGGTATTTCTCTGTGTTTTGAAGGGAGGAACCCGGAAGGTAACTCAGAAGTTTTAAATGTTATTTGAAAAAGAAGGAAATTCCATTTTATGGTTGTGGGGTTCTGAGTGATTGTTTTTTTCTCATTGGGGTTTTGCGTTTGTTGCAGTTGAAGCTTTAGTAGCCTTAAGGAATAACTTGAATGATCCCAATGGAGTTTTGAAAAATTGGGATGTCGATTCTGTGGATCCTTGCAGTTGGGCTATGATAACTTGTTCTCCTGATAATCTAGTCACTGCATTGTGAGTTTTTTTTTTGCTCTTTCCTCTTTAGCTTATTGGTTTCCCTTTTTAAGTATTTTGCTTTATTTATAAAAAAAAAGGTAAAGAAGGGAAAACTAATTCCTGGGTTTTGCAGGATAGCACCAGGTCAAGGTTTATCAGGGACATTGTCTGGGTTTAGAGCAAACCTCACAAATCTCAAACAAATGTAAGAATGCCCTGTTTTGGTGGATTTATGGTGGAATTATAGCTATATTTTTTTCCCTGAACAAAATGGGAAAAAACCAGATACCCATTTGTATTAGAGTCCAAATTATTGGAATAAATTCCCTATTTATTTCATGCAGGTTGTTACAAAACAACAATATATCAGGCCATATTCCAAAAGAGATAGGCAAACTTCCCAATCTTCAGACTTTGGATCTATCCAATAATGAGTTCTCGGGTCATGTGCCAGAAACACTGGGCTTCTTAAACAATCTGCAGTATTTGTATGTTCTGGATAATAACTCTTCAATTGCATTTTATTTTCCCATTTAATGATCTCTTCAAGTTTTTCGTTTTTGTCATTTAATGAACAGGAGATTGAACAACAATAGCTTGTCCGGGGCGATACCTCTGTCTTTATCCAGGGTCCCCAAACTTGCTTTCTTGTAAGATGTGCCCCTTTTTCTGTATTTCTTTTGTTTGTAGTCCTCTCTTTTTGTGTTTACTGTTTACCTTCTTTCTTTCAATATCTTCAGGATGAAACTTCTTCAAATTACTTCTTTCTCAAAAAAAGGATGAAACTTCTTCGAATTACCTCTTTCTCAAAAAAAGATGAAACTTCTTCAAATTGCTTCTGTCTCAAAAAATAGATGAAACTTCTTCAAATTACTTAGCTGTAGTTTGGTGCCTTATAGTGAAAATTTGCTTCATGTCATACCATATACTTGTACTACGTACCTCCTAAACTATTCCTGTTTATAATAATCTGTCTTTGTTTTCTTTATCCTTCAGGGATTTGTCTTACAATAATTTCAGTGTACCAGTGCCAACATTTACAGCTAGAACATTCAAGTATGTTTTATGTCATAATAATGTTTTTTTTGTTTTATATGCAAATTTATTTAATTATTAACCTTATTAAAGTAATAAGAATTTCTCTGTTATTAATGTTGGCTCAGTATTGTGGGCAATCCCTTGGTTTGTGGAAGCCTCTCTTCCGGGACATGTAATGGGTCGTTAAATACAATTCCTCTTTCAATCATTTTAAATACATCTGGGGGTAAGTTTTGAATAATCATCTCTTTCGGTACATTTATTTCATTTATTAAATATACTCACTTAAAATTATAATTATTATTATTAATTATTATAATTTCACAAACACCACAGGAAGAAATGTCTCAAAAAGACTTGCCATTGCACTTTCAGTCAGCTGTAGCTGTGTCTCTCTTTTTCTTTTGGGAATGTCATTTATCTTTTGGAAAAGAAGCAACCGGAGAAGGCTGTCCATTCTTAATGTTAGTGGTGAGTTAATTCTTAAATAATTCCTTCGTGTTGCTTCTCATCCCAAACATCATGGGCATGTTTGTCAATTAGCTTATTGAAGAGCTTCTAGCTTATCTGGTACTGTTTGAGGTTTGACCAGCTAAAAACAACTTTTAGAAGTATTATTAAATTTGTAGCATAATGGAAGAGCTTATTGGGTAAAAAGTTTGCCTTTAATAAGTTTTATTGGGTAAAAAACTCAACCGGGCTTTTTGTAACAGCTTATAGTTTTATTTTATACAAACATTTAGGGCTATGTTTGGCATGCCATAAGCCAGCTATCTAGTTTGGAAGTTAGCAATGAGTTTTATAAGAAATCTGTTTTAATAAGTTTAGTTTGGTTGCATCAACTTATCTAATAAGCTTGGGCTTATATAACTTAAGCATTTCTGCATTAGCTTTTCAAATGAGCTACTTTTTTTCTTTTGTAGATAGATCCAGTTTTAATATAATAAACTAGCTTCCCAACAAATTTATACCAAGGAGTATATGAGATCATAGTCGTTATCAACTACTACTACAACAAGTTATAAGCTACTCTGTATTAGCTAATGTTATAAATTAGCCTACCTTATATTCTTATAAGGTGGTTTGATCAAACACAGGCCAACTTTTGAACTGTATAACTGTATTGCTCCATAGGATTAGCCTATTAGCTTTAGTTTTTTGATATTGCAATCAGCTGATCTTACAGCTTATACCAAAAGGCTAAAACAAGTAATAACAATACACTCAATCTGATCAAAATAAGCTAACACAATCCATATTCAACTAACAGACATTTACTGAACAATGCGTTACGAGTCATTGATCTTTATTTTTTCATTTTATTTTTCATCAGATCTGCCAGATGAGGAGCTAGTAAAACTGGGGAACTTAAGAAGCTTCGGTTTCAAAGAGCTGCAACTTGCAACTGATAGTTTCAGCTCCAAGAACATTCTAGGCGCCGGTGGGTTCGGTAATGTTTACCGGGGGAAATTTGGCGACGGGTCACTGGTGGCGGTTAAGAGACTTAAGGACATTAATGGGACGGCTGGGGAGTCACAGTTCCAAACAGAGCTTGAACTTATAAGCTTGGCGGTTCACAGGAACTTGCTCCGCTTGATCGGTTATTGCGCCACACCAACGGAACGGCTTCTCGTCTACCCATACATGTCTAATGGTAGTGTGGCTGCAAGACTTAGAGGTATGTTAGTATTTACCTTTCAGAAACTAGTTGACATTTGCATACTGTTTTTTGAGTGGGGGACCAACCAGTCTTTTTCATTGTGCAACTTCAAATCAATGTGGTTAGATATTGGGGACCATGTCCTACCAGCTTTGAGGTGTGCTTCTTGTTTCATAGCCATAGTTTTCTGGCTTATGACTATTGGAAACAGTCAACGAGTTGTTTGTCTCGTTTTTTTGTGTCATCTTAGTACAGTGTGGGGCCTGGGGTTTGGACAGGGTCAAATGGAGCATAGTGTGGTTAGTTAGTTGGGGTCCGTTTGGAAATAACATTCGGTCAAAGGAAGCTTATGCCTGACTTTATCTTTTTAGAGCTTTTCTAATCAATGTGACATTTTGGGAGTGTTTACCATTAATTCCTACATCTCCCAAAAGTTTGGTCAACTTACTAAATAACCTTCTAGGTCTGCAATATTTCAAAATTAACCCCCTCACTGGTCATATATTCCACAAACAATGAACGATATTAGCATAAATTAATGTTTTAGGGAATAAATAACCTTTAATATCTATTCCTAATTGACATTATGCTCTAAATGTCTTCTGTGGTAAAATGCACTTAAAAGACCAAATTCATTGAGGACTCATAATTCTTAATGTTGAAAGGGATGTTCACAATACCAAAAACCACTATGGTCATTTGGTGATTTCACCAAACATCAGGGAGTCAGGGAGGTAGGTGTAGAAAACCTTTTGAACCTGATGCAAAGTATATAGAAGTTATACAGTATGCTCAGACTATTACTTAACTTATAGCTAGCCAAGTAAAATGAATCATTGACGTTTTTAATATACTACGGTAGGTTTCAATGGTTCTATGGAAATTAGAGTTCAAGTATTGTGTAATAATGAAATGATGCGAAAAAGAAAGACAAACCATGATTAGTTATGTCGAGTTTGCTGCTAAGAGGAGGTTGTTAGGGAATCAGTAAGTTGCATTAATTATAGAGATGATATGATGATCTAAAAGAACACTATATTACCAGGATAAAAATTGCATGTAGGCCTTTTTTTAAAACGCATATGGCTATGAAGTTTGATTAGACAGTTGTATTTATAATGATAGGAAAACCGCCTCTAGATTGGTATACAAGGAAGAGAATTGCAATAGGAGCAGCCAGAGGTCTTCTTTATCTTCACGAACAATGTGATCCAAAGATAATTCACAGAGATGTAAAGGCAGCGAATGTGCTATTGGATGAGTACTATGAAGCCATTGTTGGGGACTTTGGGCTTGCAAAGCTCCTTGATCACGCCGAGTCTCACGTCACCACAGCTGTTCGTGGGACTGTTGGCCATATCGCCCCTGAATACCTTTCCACCGGTCAATCGTCTGAGAAAACTGACGTATTTGGTTTTGGGATTTTGTTGGTTGAGCTTATAACAGGAATGCGAGCTCTTGAGCTGGGAAAGTCTGTTAACCAGAAGGGTGCTGCACTTGAATGGGTATGATCATCATTAAACTATCACGTGATATACAATTTCCAGCCCACAAAAATTTGACATTTTGATTATTTTGTCCACCGTGATATCTGATAACTGTTTGATACTAAATAAGTTAAAAAAAACATTAGTCACGTCACATTACAAGGTCTAGATTACTATTGTAAACAAAACATACAAAACTTGTGATATGTTCATACAAACAATCACTTCAGGGGTCTCATGCATGTTTCATTTATTATTCAGGTAAATGAAATGCAAAGGGAGAAGAACTTTGATGCCCTGGTCGACAGAGAACTGGGGAGCAACTATGACAAGATTGAGGTTGGGGAGATGCTACAAGTCGCCATTCTGTGCACTCAATATCTGCCTGCGCACCGCCCGAAGATGTCTGAGGTGGTTAGGATGTTGGAAGGAGATGGTCTGGCTGAAAAATGGGCAGCTTCACATAACTATGACCGTCACACCCCCCTCCACTTATCTAAGGTCCCTGGGTATGATGACAATGATTATGACCATATACCCATCTTCGGGACGATGATGGATGATGATGGCTATGATGCACATGCCATGGAGCTTTCAGGTCCTAGATAAATTAAATCACTGAAGTAGATAAAGTTAATTCTTGATATAATCTTTACTTGGTAAATTCTTAACCGATTAAATGCTATCAATCCTTAGTTTTAGCTGAAACGCAGTAGTGAAAAAGGCAGAAAAACCAACTTTCTGTTCTCTTTGCTTTACTTTTCCCCCCACTACTCTCCCATTCTCTTTTGGGAAATGGCAACTTGCCTTCTTTGTGGTTGGAACTGATTCCGAATTTCCAATAATTGTGTGGAAATAATTAGGATTTCAACCTGTAGATAACTTTCCTTTTTTGTTTATTAGGAAATATGCTTTTTATTGTGTGGCTATATGATGCCTCGTTCACGTTGTATTAGTTTGGGATCTGATTGGTACTTTTATGCATCACAAGACTAATGCTCTGTTTGGTAAATGGTAACCAACATTGTGCTTATTGTGAGTTTGTATCCTTCAACTTACTTATTTTGCTGCAATCATACGTTTCTAAAACTTGAGCAGAATCGAACATTTTAGAACATTAACTCAGGGGTTGCTTCGATGGAGAAGCTTGGAATGGAATGTTTGGAGAGCATGACCACATTAACTCGGGTCTTGATAAAGATAATGTTTCTATAGACAAGAAATTGGACCGGAGGGAAAGTGGTTCAAGTCCATGGCCTCCCTTTTTGGGAGGGATTAAGACTAGGAGTGGACTCACTGGACCGGCCCGCTACTGTGCGGGCCCGGACCGGCCCGGTGAACCGGTTTGTTGCCCGGTTCGGGCCACCCGGCCCGGCCGGTTCGGGCCCGGGCCGGGCCAATTTATTATTATTATTTTTTAATTATTTTTAAGTTTTTGGGTTGGGCTGGGTATTTTGGGCCATTTGAGGTGGTTAGGGTTGGTTTGGGGGTGAGGGGGAGGGTTGGGGGTTAACTAGGAAAAGTCAAAAAAAAAAATAGAACCGAGGCTCGGCCCGGCTCGGCCGGCCCGGACCCGGGGGTTACCCGGGCGGCCGGGCCGGTTCCGGGCCTCCCCTTCATGAACCGAGGCCCGGCCGGGCCCAGGCCCGAACTGGAACCGGTCCACCCCTAATTAAGACTGTCCGTTCTGGTCCTATTTAACATTTTTTGCATAGAACAATAGACAAACACTTTAAAAGGAGTGAGGACTATTTGCTGACAAAGGTTGGAGAGGGTCTTGGAGGATTTAAAAAAAAATTTAAAAAATAAAAAATCAGGACTAAAGAGTGAATTAGAATCAACTTGGAATTGGAAATATAAGTACTGACTAGTCTCGAAACAGAATATGCATTGATTGGGACTGTATCCATGCCTAATTGAAATATAATATATTAATATGCATGGAGTGTTTAGGAGTGAATATTTCAAAAACCACAAATACATGTACATAAAATTCAAGGTATAGTAGTGTTGGACAAAGTTTCGAACCCAAATTGGATAGACCTATATTCCTGATCTAGTTTTAAAAGGAGAACCGTTTTGACACTATTTTTTAACTTTGCTTATCAGTTACGTAGTTTTTTTTATCACACGTTACTTTTGATTTCGCACATTATATTGTGTAATAATAAGAAAAAGTAAAGTCTGATTTTCTATTTATCATAACTTCATAAAATTCAGCAGAATCATTTTAGCTATATTTTTCATACGAAGTATAATGTTTCTTTGTTTTATTAATAAAAAATATTTTAAATATAATTTTTTTCTTAAATCAACAAAATTAGCCAATTCAGCCATAACTTCATAAATTTCAACAGAATCTTCTGATTCAACCAATTTCAGTTTTATCAAAGAGGCTCTAGATGATGTTTATTCTAAACTAAAAAAATGTGAATCGCTCAACTCAAGTATCTCGTATTCAACTCGACACAATGGTGAAGAGGGAGATAATTACCAACTCAAGGTGGAATTGCTATCCTAGTTGTCCCCACACGTTGACGACTGACCTCACCAAAAGATGATGTGCATCCAAATTAGGGGTTGATCACTCGGTTCCGGTCCAAGACAGGTCGGTCCCGGTTGCCGTCCTAAATCGGCTGGTCCTGATCAGTGCTAGGGGAAGATCGAGTTTGCACTGATTCTGGGTACCTAGACGGTTCGTTCTCGGGCCGGACCGGGTCCACCCTTAACCCAAATATTCTATTGATTCTTTTATATTTTGTCAACTTTTCTTTTTAGTTTTTATCGCACAAATTTTGTCTGTTTAAAGTATATAAATAATTTGTGAACTAATTTATTTCTCTTTTCTATACAAATTTTAAACTATTCCCTCCGTCTCTTAAAAGTTTTGTCATGTTTGATCGGCACGTAGAATAATAAAGTAAAAACTGTGGTAGAGATTTGTGCAAAAGAGAAAGAAATAACAAGAGCTACAAATTAATTGATTAAAAAAAAGGGTCACAATTTTTGGGATAACAAAAAAAGTTGACACAGGGGACAAAACAAGTACTCCCTCCGTCCCAAAATTATCTTCATAGTTACTATTCACACGGTCAACTCAAATTACTCTTAAACTTTTACTTTATATATCAAATTTTTATCAAACTTAAATTTTCTTGATCAGCCTTTGTAGCGGATTTAATGTAGTTTCTGAATATGTAAATTTAATTTACTAAAAATAATCTGAGTGTGAACAGGGATCAAGTTGCTTTATCGTCAGTCAAGCATCGTAAACCGAACTACGAAGATAAATATGGGACCGAGAGAGTATACAACTTTTATTATGTTATTTCATATTTAATTTTAATTTGAAAATGTCCACTTATTATGGAGGCAAATAAGTACCCTCAAAAGCTTAAGATGCCTGAGTGGGCAGAAGGTGTGACACTCGGAGAGAGAATAAAGGCAGGGCAGGGCAAAGCAAAAGGGTTTTTCTTTTTGACTGAAAGTAGAAGATGAGAGATGAGCTGTCATCATTGTCTCGTCTCACCCCCACCTCACCGGTACTGCCATGTTTGTTTGAGACTGCCCAAATGAGGGCTTCTCTCTTCCCATCATCTCCTTGTTCATGGCTTCATGCATCTCTTGGCCCAAAAGTTGAATGTCCGACCTCAAGCCCTCCACCTCGACTCGACAGGATGGGGGAGGTTCATGTGTCTCCCTTCTATTATCATCCCTTAATTTTTGCATGTTTTCATTTTAACTTTATTTGAATTGGAAATAAAAAAGTAAACTGGTAATTTTAATTGAATTTTTTAGAATTATTATAACCTGTGCAATAATAAAATTTAACGTAAAATGAAGTATGTTAAATATGATTACCAATGATTATTGAGTAGTGCATTGATTTTTATAACCTCATAAAATACGAAGTATTAAGTAGCATGCAATATAAATATAATTTGAAAACGCGTTATATTTCAGGTTAATGTTATCAAACACTTCTTTAAAAGATTATTTTCGCTTTCAATGTTCGTTCCTTTGTCATCTTTTGTAATGTGATTTTCAACGCTCGACGATTAGTTATTCTTGACACAACAACGTAAAGTTGATCAAGATAAAAAAACATGTTCTTTCAACAACAAAGCAACATGCGACTACTCATGTCTTTGAACTTTTTTTTACAGAGTCATGATATAATAATTCATTTTTGGTGTGATTGCATCCGAATTTTGGAATGATCAAGGTGTGCATGAGAATTAACACCTTTTCTCCAACACTAACAAGTAACAATTATAAATAAAATCGTTCCTTCTAGAAAATGTTTTGCTAGTAATTCACGGGTGCATTGCAAAAAGATTTTGGCAAAGATTTTTTCCATTTTCAAAGGTTTATAATAAATGAATGCAAATTATTTGTAATGACAAAGTAACGGGGTGCCTTTACATTTATACGAATTGCACTTTTTAGACAAAATGCTTGTGTAAACAGAAAAAGTACGGGGTGTGAAAATATGTGGTAATGTCTTATGTCATTCTTAAACTATACTTAAATACTCCTTCCGTCCTTTAAAACTTTGTCAACTTTCCTTTTTTGCTTGTCCCGCTAACTTTGCCACTTTACCTTTTAAGTAAAAAAATTGTGATCCAGTTATTTTTTATCTTCTGCACAAACTTCAACCACACAAATTTTACTTTATTAATCCTCTTGCCGGTCAAACTTGACCAAGTTTTAAGGGATGAAGGAAGTATAAATCTTATGGGAAAATGTCGAAATAGATCGTTATACTATTCCAAATATCTCCATTTTTATCTTTAATTCTCTTTAAACTTGTTCCAAATCTGGTAGTTTATCTCCATTTAAACTTCCTTTTAAATTGTCTTGTTGTCTTGTAAATTTTATCTCCTTTCAGTATTCTAACCTCTCCGTTTAGGAATATAGGTGATTAAAGCGGAAGCCAATATGAGAGAATTGAGAATTACAAAGAAGCTAAAAACTAATACTAGAAAATTGTATTTAATTTGTAACCCATTTGTGTTTGATTACGCTTAAGGGCATATGACATTGAGTTGTTTGGTTGATCGAATGATATCTTATTTTGCATATTTGGCGAATTATTTCAATGGCCATCATGCATACAATCTCTATAAGGCTTATTGTTGAAGGTAAGTCCCGTAGATCCGAAAGCCCAACACGAACTTTGGATATATCAGGAATGGACCAGAATCAAAGTGTATAACAAAATATAAAATATGAACTCACTAATACCCAAAAGCCCACTTGTATTAATTAACCTGTCTGATTACAAGGAAACTTCCCGATTGGTAGGTCGGAACAGTGCTTTAATACAGGAAACAAGAGTAATAATGCTATTCTAGAGCTTGAGTATTGAAATGCTAACCCTTACAATGATTTTAAACCTTCTATTTATACTAATGGAGAGCATGGGCTGCTCTATGCTGATTGGCCGTTGTTCCACCGACTTGATCACCCATGTTTCCACTTGCTGATGTCACAATCTGGCATTAATTGCACCTGGCCACTTGCTGGTTGTCCGTTGCTCGAACGAGATGTTGGACCATGCTGAAGACGCTGCCAAATTGGCCCAAGTATGATATATGGTCCGAACTCCGTTCGGTATATCTTCTTTCTAGGCCGGCCTTTACTTGGACTGAACCCCGTTCGGTATGAATTCTTCACTAGATCTATTCATCATAGGGTAATGGACTCATTGTTTGGGCCGGGTATCCTGGGCCTGTTTGATCCGGGTATTGGGCCTCTGGGTCAATAACCCAACACAAGTCCCCCACTTCCAATGTCTCGAATGACAGTGAGTGCATTAGGAAGTATGAATACCAATGTTGCAATTTGCCGAATGGCGATCGGGGTGCAGAAGTGGTCAGTTCCCCATACTGTGATTTGATGGCTGTCGTTTTATTTTTCCCATATTCATCATGATAACCGTCGTTTAGTCTTTTCATTAGACACGCATTTAGCTTAAATGCTTCTAGTGACGTGTCGCTTCTTGATTGGTCCTCGATACGGCGGTTTAAAGGCTATAAATTAGCCTTTAACTTTT